ATATATATCTGTTTATGCTGTGTTTGGTTTGAAGGAAAAAGTAGGAAAAGGAAAGGAAAGGTAGGGAAACCTTTACAAACCTTGTATAAGTTTCCCTACTTTTTCCTTCAAACCAAACATAGCCTATAGAAAATAAATAAACACAAAATTGAAGGAAAGTTTTTAAATCAACAAATGGGTTTTCACCAAAGTTTGGGGGGGGGGGGATTGGTCAAAGCCTTTTTAGTATAATGTCTTTTTGGCATCATAGATTTTCCCTTTAAAATTTTCACAAAATTCCTTAAAAACTTTTCCTCAAGCTTTTGATTTTATTTTGTTTTCTATCAAGTCAAACACAATCTTATGGAAAAAAATGAGAGGCAACTCCCAATTTTCTATAATTAGCAATCACATAGTACTCACTTTATGGAAAATGATTCATTTTTAAAGCCATTTTATGTGCAATCACACAGTAAATTAGCAATCTTCAAGAAATTATTCTCTCTTTCATTTTGGGTGCAAACAGAATTGTTGTTGTTAAGATTTGCAACAAGAGAGAAGGTTGAAAGACGTAGGACTTTGGCAAGTTGCAAGCATAGAAAATATCAAAGACCCTGGAATTGTTCCCTAAGGCTCAATTTGGAAGGAGTACGAATACATGTAGAGTGCAAATACATACAAAATAATACAAAACATAAGGTTTTGTGCTCTACATATTTGCATTTGTACTCCTTCTAATTTGAAAAGAATACAAATATAAATATGTAAAATACAAATCTATACTACTTATAAAAGATTCTCCTATTGCGGTTAGACCTGTTCATGGGTTGGGTGGCCCAACGGGCTGACCCGGTCCCCGAACAGGCTTGAACATGTTTATAGGCCCGCGGGCTTAAACTCAGGCCAAAAAGTCCATCCCACAATAAATCTGAGCCGGGCTCGGGTTTTGTCAAAATAGCCCGACCCAAGCCTGGCCTGGCCCGACCTAAAATTAGACTTAAAATGAATTATGTGATTATGTCCATTTGAATAAATTTTTTGATTTAAGAATGTAAAATTGTGTTTTAAAACTAATGAAGGGAAATTTGGCCCGACCTCGCGATCGCCCGACATGTGGCAAAGGCAAGCAGCTCGGGACAGTAGAGCACCCAAAGCGAACATCGGAAGCAAGTCCAAACTCACTACCGAGCCCGAACTCCAGACCGCTGTACTTAGTCCGAGCTCCTTGTTAAGAGCGAACTCCCTGTTAAAGGTCCGAGCTCCCTAAAACCCGAGCTCCCTA